TTTTTTTTTTTTTTTTTTTTTTTTTTTTTTTTTTTTTTTTTTTTTTTTTTTTTTTTTTTTTTTTTTTTTTTTTTTTTTTTTTTTTTTTTTTTTTTTTTTTTTTTTTTTTTTTTTTTTTTTTTTTTTTTTTTTTTTTTTTTTTTTTTTTTTTTTTTTTTTTTTTTTTTTTTTTTTTTTTTTTTTTTTTTTTTTTTTTTTTTTTTTTTTTTTTTTTTTTTTTTTTTTTTTTTTTTTTTTTTTTTTTTTTTTTTTTTTTTTTTTTTTTTTTTTTTTTTTTTTTTTTTTTTTTTTTTTTTTTTTTTTTTTTTTTTTTTTTTTTTTTTTTTTTTTTTTTTTTTTTTTTTTTTTTTTTTTTTTTTTTTTTTTTTTTTTTTTTTTTTTTTTTTTTTTTTTTTTTTTTTTTTTTTTTTTTTTTTTTTTTTTTTTTTTTTTTTTTTTTTTTTTTTTTTTTTTTTTTTTTTTTTTTTTTTTTTTTTTTTTTTTTTTTTTTTTTTTTTTTTTTTTTTTTTTTTTTTTTTTTACAGGTCAAGCAAATAACAATGCAACTCCATATCCACCATAATCGGAAATGCCGCCAATCCCCCAATCATCACACAAATCAGTCAACAGGTTGACAAGAAAAGGCTTTAAGCTCAAACGGGCTACTAGTGGAATAATAAATAGGACCAAAGAACAAGGCAGAAGTGAGCTAGTCAAACAAAGTGCCTCAATCATATTCGCAATTTTAAACTCTAATAGATTCCTTTCAAACAAACTCAAGGCAAGTTCTAATCATTCAAGAATATGACCAATATCTCACAAGAAAGAAAGAGTAAGGATCAAAACCTCACAAGGTAAATAAATGTCAATCAAAGCAATCAAGCAATATCGAGGCAATGATCAACACAATCGTCATCACAACTTCCCAATTTCATCAAACATCCATCAACAAATCATATAATCCACCAATACCATGCTCAAAAACACAAAAACCTAAACTAGCCCGGCCCACCATATAAGCATGCAAAAATCCGAATAACTCCCCCACACTTAAAATGAGGCAATGTCCTCATTGCTTCAACACGAAACAGGAATTCAAATAAAGGACCTAGCACTTTCACATAATGAACCAAACTTAGCAACTACGACAGCAACACAAGACTCAAAAGCAAAGACAGAGGAAAGAACAACTCAAAAAAAGATAAAAAGAGATGGAAAAAGGGTGTGCAAACCGAAGATGCTCCGAGGAGAATAAGCATCCACATACGAGCTACTCGCCCACGCACCGCTCTGGACCTCGATGTTCGTCCTGCTCAAGCTCGCAAACTTGTACCTGCCAAGAAAAACACAGAAACTCCAAACTCCAATTATTAAAAGATAAAATAAAAAGCAAAAAGAAAATGACTAAGAAAGCAGTAAATCACTTGGGTTGCCTCCCAAGAAGCGCTTGTTTAACGTCATTAGCTTGACGAAACCTGCAAGGAACTCAGCCAGGGTCCAAAAAGAAATGGCGATCATGCCACGCCTTCGTATTTTCCAGAAGTGGCAGCATGGGAAGGGTGGCAAGAAGGCGGGCATGGTGGATCCGGGTGGCTATGTTCTGTATGAAGTGGTCTCGGGCACGAGCAATCCCCAATTCTAAACGCAGAGCTTTTCCCACCCGAGCTCTATCGTCAATCTCAGGAATAACGAGCAAATCCGTGGAGCAAGTCGAGCTGACTCTGGCCCACTTGGTAGCACAGTGTGACTTCGAAGGTGAATGCTCCATCTCGGTAGCAGGAGGAGGGACTCGAGAAATGGTGATGTGATCAAGTCCATGAATCTCCTCCTCCGAAACATCGTCATCCCAATAGAGAACATCATCTTCCTCTTCGGTCTCACACATGTGCATCGGAATACATGTTTGGGCACCAACCATAAGATGAGAGTCGTCGACTTTCAACTCGATAGAGTCGAGACGTGCTGTTAGATTCTCCATTTGAGCGCTCAGTCGAGCACATCCGAACTCAATCTCCCCTTCTCGGTTTGCTTGGGCCATCATACCATCGAGGATGAGGTCAAGTTTGGCGTTGTATCCCGAAGCGTCATCCTCAAGCTCATCGAAAGGTATAAGTGCCGGATGTGGGTCCCCAACCATGGGCTCTTTGGCTCGTGACTCGATAGAGTCGATGCGCCTTGCTAGACTTTCCAATTGCTCGCTCAAACGGGCACATCGGTTTTCTTGGGCCATCATCTGATCGAGGATCAGATCAAGTTTCTCGTTGAATGCGGCCTCTTCTTCTCGAGCTGTTTGAGAATTTATAAAATCGAGAATCTGGTCGAGCTTCTCATTATGATCGTGGGATTCGTAAGTTTGCTCGACCGTGTAGGGATTCCAGCACTGCTCGGAAGAGTACGGAGATGACTGGATGTAGCACCCAATGTGATAGCTCGGCTCGTGACCCCAAGACTGGGTGTGTGGTGAGGGAAACACACGGTTGAAATTCAACATACCTGCACACCGAAACAAAACAACCACACGTAGCCACGAAATAGAAGGAAAAAGAAAACAAGAACAAAGAAGACAAAAAGAAAAACAAATATGCACAAAAGAGAGAACAAAAATCCTAAAAACATAAAACAAAGAGAAACACGGAAAATAAAATCAATACCAAAACCAAATATCCTACTTGCCTTCCCCGGCAACGGCGCCAAATTTGTTGTGTACAAATTGTTATATTTTACCGAGTACCGAATCAAAGATTCGCTTCCCGGGTCGATCTCTCGAGGAAGGCGGTTCGGAATTTAGCTTTGGTAATGATAACACATAAAAAGAAAACAAAATCCTAAACACTCTAATCAGAAAAGGGGTTTGAATAATTACTGTCTAAAAAAAAACAATAAAGAGCAATAATCTACCTAAAAATGTGGATGGAACAAAGATGGAGAAACTAGGGAATCGGGGATAATTAATTCAAGTTCTAGCAAAGCCGGGCAATTAATCGTTCGGTTCGAGATTGACACTCTCGCTTAAACATCTAGAGGTTCGCTCCCAATAACTCTTCGTAACAAGGGATTGAACATAGA